CCCCCCGGCCACATCTCCCCCACCTCGGGCTCCGTCTCCTTCCAAGTTGCCCCCCACCTCCCCAGTGTCGGCCACCCCTGGTTCAGCCCCCACGCTGTCCCCCACGTCCAACGCTGCACCCACGCGGAAGATGCCCCCCTACATGGTCACCTCTTTCGTCTCCATGCCCCCCGCGTCACCCCCTGCACAGGAGCCCACCACCACCACCCCATCCTCCAAGGAGCCCCCGGCCGAGATGGGGGTCCCAGGGGCTAAGGACGGCACGGCGCTGCGGCAGGGTGTCCCCCAAAAACCCTACACCTTCCTGGATGAGAAGGCGAGGTGAGTAGCAGTGGGACAAGGTCTGCTGGGGGTGTCGTGTGCCCCCCCAGCAGCCCACACGGCCACCCTGTGCCGCAGGGGCCGCTTTGGGGTGATCCGGTTGTGCAAGGAGAACGCCACGGGGAAGCACTTCATGGCCAAGATCGTGCCTTACGAGGCAGAGAGGAAGCAGAGCGTGCTGCAGGAGTACGAGATCCTCAAGGCGCTGCACCACGAGCGCATCATGGCTCTGCACGAGGCGTACATCACTCCCCGCTACCTGGTGCTCATCTGCGAAAACTGCGCTGGCAAGGAGATCCTCTACAGCATCGTGGACAGGTACGGGCGGGCGTGGGGCCGCCGGCAACTGCCGCCGGTGTGGGGCCACCCGCTGATGCCACTTGCCCCCAGGTTTCTCTACTCGGAGGACGACGTGGTGAGCTACGTGCTGCAGCTCCTGCAGGGCCTCGAGTACCTGCACGGCCGCCGCATTGTGCACCTCGACATCAAGCCGGACAATGTCGTCGTCTCGGGCATGAACGCTCTCAAGATCATCGATTTTGGCAGCGCCCAGACCTACAACCCCCTCGTGCTGCGGCAGCTGGGGCGGCGCGTCGGCACCCTGGAGTTCATGTGTGAGTGGGGCACCAGGGACGCGGTGGCATGGGGATGGGGACGGGGCATGTGGGTGCCTGAGGTGTGCGTGTGTGCCTGTGCACTGGGGGGCTTGGGACTGGGGAGGAGGTGAGCTGTCCTTGGAGAAGTTGAGGGGTCTTTGGGGTGCTGGGGGGGTTCTGAGGGTTTCTGTAGGGTTTCTGGGTTCAATGGGAGAGTTTGGGTGCATTTGGGGTGTTCCTGGAGGCGCTGGGCTCTGTCAGGGTGTTGGGGCATCAGGGAGGGGTGCAGGAGGGTGTAATGGTGGGGTGTGGTGGTGCTGGGAATTCTGTGGGTGCTGTGGGTGCTGGAGGTACTGGGGGTGCTCATGGTGCTGTGGGTGCTGTGGCTGCGCCCCCCAGTGCATACGACAGCTCTGCTCCCCTGTCCGCAGCGCCAGAAGTGGTGAAGGGCGACCCAGTGGGCTCCGCAGCAGATGTCTGGGGCGTTGGCGTTCTCACCTACATCATGTAAGAGATGGGGCCGGGGGCAACGAGCACCCTGAGGTGTAGTCAGCCCCACCCCACCCAGGCTTTGGTGCCATGGGGGACACCAGGCTGGTTGTAAGCTGGGGGATGCTGTAGCCCTGCAGACCCTTCCCAGCTGGACATGGGGATTGAGACCCTGGGCAGTCACGGGTGGGTAGGGCGTCCTGGGTGCACTCCCACTGGTGTCCCCCGGCCCATGCCACCCTCTCCACCCTTTCAGGCTCAGTGGACGGTCACCATTCTTTGAACTGGACCCCATCGAGACGGAGAACCGTATCCTGGCAGGACGCTTTGATGCCTTCAAGCTGTACCCCAACGTCTCACAGAGCGCTGCCCTCTTCATCCGCAAGGTCCTCGCTGTCCACCCCTGGTGAGTTCCCAGCCCAGCCAGGGAGGACAAGTGGCCCTGGACTGCACCCATGACTGGGCCAGGCAGGCAGGTTCCCTGCCCCACAGGGACCTTCAAGACATCATCAGTGGGACGCTGGGGTCCATCCCTGCTCCCGAAGAGAGTTGGGATCTCCTGGGTCTTGCAGGGCAGAGGCGGTGGCTGGGTTTGGGGGGTGCGATAGCAGAGACACCCCATCGCCCCTGACTTGGTGCCGCCCCTGCCCCAGGAGCCGCCCCACGGTGAAGGACTGCTTTGCCAACGCCTGGCTCCAGGACGCCTACCTGATGAAGCTGCGCCGCCAGACCCTGACCTTCACCACCAACCGCCT